CTATTCCCGCATTATTCTCCTCTATCCTTAGTTGATGATAGCAAGAATGTTTATTACAACTAGTAATGGTACTTATTGTTCAGATTACGGTGTATTATTATGCCATGGAGCAACTGCTACCCGATAGTAAGGGAAGACAGTTACCCTGCTCCGAGACATGACATACCATAACTTCAGCCCATCCAACGAGAAAGTTTATTTAAAGTAGCGGGGCGGTGAGAAGAGAGTAATAGCGCAACTTTCCGCCGCCTTCTTCTAAGCACCTCTTAGCCCATCTTTTCTCCCCGTCCAACAAACATTGTTTGCCGGGTAGTTGCCGGGTGGGCAGTCGACCTATTATAAGAACCAGTCGTTGCGTAATAATCGTTTCCCTTCCCTTTCATTGTAGCATCACAACAGCAATAGCAATAGCTAATGCCCTTCTCTCCTTCCCTCTCCCTGTCTCTCTCCCTCTCTGTCTCCAATAACAACATAACAACAACAATGACACACACTCATTCTATCAACATCGCTCTTCCATTTCTCATTGACAACGACGACGACCTCTGCCCGCCCGGGAAGCGACAAGTATCGGAGGATGTTGCAGAAAAAACTGGTTCTGGTTCAGGGTTGCTGTCGGGTAGTAGACATTGTCTCCAATGGCATCAATGAATAGCCAACCTTTGTGCACTACCCTTCCTTATCCATGCATTATACATTTAGCTAACCGACTATTCTTATCTACCACTACAGTCTCTCTTACCCTTTCCCTTTCTCTTTCCCTTTCAATCTTTCCCATACCATACATACTACTCTCCTCTCTCTCTCTCTCTCTCATTCTTTTTTTTAATTGATAAAGCTTCAGATCAAGTCTTTCAATCCATTTATCTCTTAGCTATTCTCTCCCAAAACCACTAAAATGCACTTTCTCCTAAACAATTCAAAACCCATTCGACCTTTAAGGCTTAATTGCCCGCTATATATGCTACACATACAGGTTTTTTCCACAAAAATTGCTGTAATTGTAATTTTTGAGATGCAGAAAAAGCGACGGGTAAGGAAGGGAGCTCCCCGCGGGTCTGTGACACACACACACAATAAACATAGCAATTGCTATTGGTTCTGTAATTACCAACTGATCGACAGATCGACCAACCGACCGTCCAACCGAGACCGATCGACCGACCGACCGACCGACCGGCCAGGCGAGCAATTGATCAACACGCATTCACATACATATACACACACACACAAACATAACAGTAGAAAAAATAAGGCAATACACTGAAAAACAAAAAACGAACATATAACATATGCCGAAAGTTGTGTCTCATCCAAATAGACAGACAAACATGACGGATGGACGAACGGATGACGATGGACCGACGGATGAACGGATGGGTGACGAATGGATAGACAAACGGAGGAACGGATGGATGGATGGACATACGTCCATGTATGTATGTATGTGTGTGTGTATGTGTGTGTGTGTGTGTGTGTGTGTGTGTGTAGCAGTAGATGGAGAAGAATTTCCTGAAAACAGAGAGTATGAAGTTGATTCGTTGAAAGTGTCAAAGAAGGAATGACTGACTTCTCAGTTGAACCATAGCAATTGAACAGTTCAGTTCAGTTCAGTTCAAGTTGGAATGAAATGAATGTTCTCCTCGTTGCAGATAAGCGTTCTGTGTTGTTTCCAAATATTTTAAAACAGCATAAATGTTTACTCTTATTTCTACTTCTCATATCATACATATGTAACATCACACTATCGAGAATTATATGGGTTAGATAAGTTATCATATCATATCATATCATTTATGTTTCATTGATAGTATTTTATACGTACGTTACGTCTTCATATTCCCGTGATATGTGCAATAAAAGTTCGAGAAATAAGGGAGAAGAAAGAATATTTGAAAGTGAAGTTGAAATGAAATATTCCATTTAGTTAATTAACGATTGAGGCGATTTGATTAATTTGCTATTAGATTTTTTTTTTTTTGAAATTGTAAGAATTTGGAAAAGGAAGTGTTAAATAAGAAAATTGAACTAATTAATAAAATTATTCCATTGAAATTGTTTCATTTCTTTACCGCAATCTTAACAGCTGTTCCATTTATCTCTTGCGGTTATGGACTAACTTTTGCTAACATTCTAGTCTCTTTTCACTGTATTTCATCCTCTGTCCACATTGTTGCAGCGTCTCAAATTTCATTTCAAATCTGATTTAATGAGAAATTTACTAAAATTACTGCTACGGGTCAGTGTAGGTGGTGCCGGGTGCACTGCTGGTCAAAGCTTACGAAAAGCTAATTATAACCTCACTCACATATATTAGCCAGTCTCGATTCATGTCCAGCTGACCACTTCTATTACACCTACCAATCAATCTTAATTCTTTATACCATCACACATATTCACAAGAAAAAGAAAAAAAAAGGTTGAAAAGGTGGAAAATGTCATTAGTAAGTAATAGGCTATCGTACTTTTGAAATTTAAATCATTTTGAAATGATACCTCCATTAATTTGTTGGCTTTATAGTATCAGCATGTGACACGAATACATTTCCTTTAATAATCTGGAGTATATTTTATTACTGAAAGATGAATGAGTATAAGTAAACAGGTAGGTAATTACAAATCAATAAATGTATATCACACATATATATTTATTTGTTTGTTTGCTTTCGTCTGCTTATTTATTTCCCAATTAAAAGCTGTAGAAAAAGATATACAATTGCTGGGCTACCTGTTTACGTTCTATTTTTCCTCTTAACGACTTTGCCATCCAGTAAGTACCCAATGCGAAAACCCTTCCTCATCACATGTTTCACCCTATTTTCATCTTTGGTCTGCGATTGCTGCTGTTGTCGACATAGAAAAGGAAGATTTTGTTTACGATCATCCTCTCAGAATCAGTTAGCACTCACTCATATTCAGTTGGCTAACAGTTTGCAAATCATTCATCTAATGTTTAAGGTCAAAAGGTCATCAAGTGTTTATCAACAGTTACACCTATATCACTATGCTAAATATTAAGCAATCAGTTGAGAAAGAGTGAAGAAGATAACCTGATTGTTCTATCTGATATATAATTGATGAAGTTGATTAGTTTGTGAATTTACAATGTTTATATTGTTTTTGCAACTTTTAAATAAACCAACGATTGTTCAGGACAGCAGTGCATTTTATTCTGGAAATTAGAGTTTATCTATTGCAGTCAGTTTGGCTTTTTTCCAAGCAATATCTGGAAATATTATGGATTGCAAAACTGCATGTTGCAGTTCTTGATAAGAAAGATCTCTGCAATCCTGCATTATTAAAAGTAGTAAAGAGGAGGATGTTGTTGATGATGCAAAACAGCCCGGCTAAAGTGGTTGTTTTTGTTTTGGTGCTTTTCGCGGTCGTCGTCTTCTGCCCTCTCTAAGGGGTATCCTGCCACCACTGATCGACGATGTATGATCCGTTACATCAGACAGACACCGCCATTCTCACAGCTACAAATTGAAAGGTTGACATTTCTAGGATGATCATGTCCACCATATCTATCCAATCCAATCGCTGTTGATAGTTATATCACTGATAGCTATTCGATCTCATAAGACAGACAGTAAACGCCTCCTTACTAATTATCATTAATCATTCGGACGAAATATTTGTTTCCGTTGACAGAAAGAGAAATATTCAAATGTGAAAAAGAAAGATGATAATGTGTAAAAGTAAAAAATTGAATACGTTATCATTTATACAAACATATGTTATATGAATAGGTAGCAGTAATGGATAGTACAGTTGCCGCCTTTCAATTTTTAGCCATCCTCGCCGTTTTGTCTGTAATGTTTGAGTGCTTTCCAAGATAATTTCATTTCATGCCTCTCTCTCTCTCTCTCTCTCTCTCTCTCTCTTCTTTCCCTTCAAATTTTTTTTTTCCAATATACAATCATCGAAATTCTAAATCCTTTTTTGCTTTCTCCTTTCTATATTTTGCTACTTAATTAATTCAAAAAAAAAAAAAAAAAGTGATCAATGCCTCAAAAAAGTGATAAGTATTATCTATATTAACTGCTTACTATCATGCATTTCATTAGATTATAGCTTGAAATTACTGTGAACCATGTTCGGTATTCTAAACTGAGATTAACTTTCCTGCAAAAATTAGCGGCGGTAGATTGAGCTGTGCCGCATGCGGAGTGATGTTTGGTCGATTGATAGCGACGAGTGGTTTGTTATTTGCATTTCCTATGATGTTTAAGTTTAATAGTAGTAGTAGTAGTAGTGGTGGTGGTGATATTAGTAGCTGATGCTATGCACATGTGCGTGCGTGCGTGCGTGTATGTTGTTGTTGTCATTGTTGTGAAGTTTACGGAAAAATGTGTACCCTAAGGGAGTTACTAGGCTCATCTTATTGCCATGTTGTGACCTGATCTTCATTTACTTCTTTACTTATAGCAGAAATGGCTTTATTTTTTTTTTTTTAAAAAAAAAAAAGTTATGATTTTTTGATAAATTCTCAGATAATTTTGATGAAATTTTGAATAAGAAGTAAAATTTGAGTAAAATTTTTGAGAAATTGATAATACTAATTCAGTAATTTGTTTAATATCGCTTCTTTATTCCATATTTCTGTAGTTTAGAAAATAAATTATTTAATTTTTTATAATAGCTAAGAATATCTTTTATAAGAACTATAAAAGGAAAAAAAAAATGATTTACTTCACATTCAGCAAAAAACCATTATTTGTTTAATTCTGTGAGATTCTCTTATTGCACCTTTTTTTTTTTTTGGTAATATTTTGAAATTTGAATTAATCTATGCAGCATTGTCAATTGTTACTTCATTGCAGTTTGGTAGTAATCAGTAGCGGTCAACAGTAGCATCCACTTGGCTACTTTTTGTTAGTAACCTTTGACCTTACTGAAGATTATCATTTCACTTCAAATTCATTTGTGTACATTTCTACCACTATCGCTTCGCTTTTTCTCTTTCCTTTTCCCGTTATTTGCTATTGTTCAATCTACCAAAAATATTTCAACAAATGCCTTTTGTCACACATTTTTCGTCCTCCATTATGCATCATTTTTCAAGCTTTTTCCATTTTGCTTATTGATAATTTTAATTTATATATTTTTCGATTCACACCAAAAACTTCCATTCCATTCCATGGTTTTAAATATAATCATTAATTTATTTTAGCTTTCAATTTCAATTCAACATTTTACTACTAATTATCTTACTCAGAGTTATTTGTTCTTCTGGATAGAATTGGATGCAAAAAATATGGAATAAATTGAGCATATCTCAAACAAATTTTATTTCATTTTTAAAATTTTTTCATTGTTGATAAGAGATAAGAAATGAATTTTATAAATCATTGTGTAGATATGGTCTAAAGTAATATATCATTTTTTTTTTCGTTTCTTTTTCCTTCTTTTTCTTTCCAATGAAAATTTGAAAGTTATTTAAATCATATGTGATTTCTTATTTGACTACCATTAGCTAAGTAATCTTTCGAATTCACTCTTAAATTTAAATTTGAACAATCAATCCATGTAATCCAGTGGACATTAAAACTTTTTTGCTTTTGCATATGTTGGATTATCTAGCAAGTATTTGTTGTCTTCTGCACTGATTCAATAATTTCAAGCTAAAAAGTACATCTTGAATTTCCATATGGAAAAAAGTATTTGCTATCAATTGCTTTATATCAGCTATACTTATGTTTGTGTATTAGTGAAAAGTCAGTAGTGCCAGCACCTGTTCGGTATGCTTTTCCTGTATATGCTAAGTTCGTGGACTTCAAGAGAGAATGCTTTCAGTTAGCCACCAGCTGGTTTTTAACTATTCTTCACTTCTATTGCCTGTGCACATCCACAACTCTCTTCATTCTTCTTCATGTGCTTTTATTTTGCATTATGTTAGCTGTGTCCGTATTTTAGTCCGGTTTCTCTTCAAATGATTCTAAAAGTAGTACTCGAATTTTAATTATCTATTATAATTAATCAATTTATATGAGTTAAATTTTTTCGAATCAATTTATTTTATTCATAATAAGTTTTTAAATAATTTACTAATCAACTGAATGCAATTGATAATGGTATTTCAATCGATAATTTATAACTGATTAACATAAAATAAACTGATTTATTTGATATGGATAGCTTATTATTATTATTATTATTTATTATTATTATTATTATTATTATTATTATTATTATTATTATTATTATTATTATTATTATTATTATTATTATTATTATTATTATTATTATTATTATTATTGTACAATGATAATACCTCAAAAAGATCTATGCTGATCACACAGTATTGATGAATTTTTTTTTCCCAATGTGGTTTTTGTTTCTGAAATTGAAGAGCAAAATGGTTGTGTAGGATTTTAGAGCACACCATCTGTTAGCTTATTCTTCTGGTCTGTAGGAAATCATTGCACTATAAGATGATAGCCTCTTGAAAGTACTCATTCTTCCATTTCACGTCAACAACAAAACAGTATTTCCTAATCAACTATCAAATTTGATTGTCAAATAGAGACCAGATCTTAGAGTTGTACTTGTTATTTATAAGATAAGAATTCTTATGCTTACCGCAATTCCTTTTGTTTTTGTTGTTTATCAAATGTGGGCAAAATGATTAGAAGAGATATCTTCTCTTTAACTATTTTATTCATTCTTTTTTTCTTCATTTTATTTCTTTTAATAATTAATTTATACAATTTATTTACAATAATTATCAGATTTCAGTGATAAATTTTTATTACTGATTGCTTTTATTTTATTTTCTGTAATATTTTATTAAAAATTTTTTTTTTGTTATTATTGTTGTTTGTTATTAAGAAGAGTGGATTAAGCTTTTTCTTATAAATATGATAAAATTTATAGTTTTTTTTTTTTTTTTATCATCAGCGGACGTCATAATTTTATAAGTCATCACTTTAGTCTGCAATTTAAGTGCACAATTTTACAGCATAATTGGAATTTTCGAGCAAGAAGGATTCAAATCGTCATGTCGGTGAATTGATAGCACATTAAGTACGGTATCAATGGTTTAAGAAAGCATCAGTTCAATTTTTTCTTTAATTTTTTCAAGTCTCGACTTAACACTCGTTTATCATCTCGGCGTGTACTTCTCACTTCTGTACTTAGCTAATGACCAAAAGCATGGAGTAGTGCACAGACTTTGTGGTAAGTTAAAATATTCTTCTTTTATCTTTTGCATTTTCACTTAGATTTCTGTAATCGTTGAATGAATTGTTTCGAATATTGAGTTGGTCATTAGAGATATTATAATTCTAATTTAGTATCCTTATTCTTCCATTCTTTTATGATTTTGGAATCAGTTTTGCTAGAAACTATATATTTAATAGTTTCTTAATGATATGCAACTGATAGCTTCTCTCTTATTAACCTATAAGGTTTGTTAGATCATTCTATATAGCTACTTGATGATACACATTAATAATTGTATTTTAAAAATTTTCAAGATACCAATTATCAAATCATTCTGGAATTTTTCTTTTTGTTTATGCAGCATGTTGTGTGGGTGAATTCAGCGCATTAAATTGATGTGCAGTATGCGCCTGTCTTTGTCACACTTTCCATTTCTAATTTGCTAATTGCTAATGACTGCAGAAGAGGTGTTAAATTTTCTTAAACATTTTTAATTTACATCTCTCTTCTCATAGTTGTGCTAGTCTTTTATGATTCAGTTAGGTAATAAAGTAGTAAGTATATGTATCACTTTTCGAATATTACAATGTTAACAAAGTGACCAATCTACATTTGATTATATGAGACTGATAATAACTTGGAACTGATAAGGCAGTAATATATAGACAGTCTTATGAACTGAGTAACTGCATTCCTGTATCAGCTTAAAAAATAGAAAAAAAAAAAGCATTTTGATGATGCTAAATGTGAATACTTGAGAGTTCCATTCATTCGTCTCCTCTCTTTTGACTTTATCATATGAGTTAATTTATTTTCCTCCCTATTGTATTATGTTCTAATTATGTCCTAAAAAATTCGATCTTTTAATTTCGATCTGAGTAAGTACATTTTAGCTCATTACTTTACATCTTATTATCCAAATTCCAAACATATCTCTCTTTCATAAATCAAAGAGAATCAAACCATTCATGAAATATTTCGTTAAACTTTATGCATACTTACAATAATTTTTGCTCTCATTATATAATAGTAATTATTGAAATCGTAACCAATGGACTGATGAATGATTCACCTTGGTGACTTAATATGGTCGTTGAGGTCTTATAATACTATGCAATCATGATTTGAAAATCAGATTAAACTAATTTTTCACTTTTAAATGGTGGTGGTGAATTATAATAAATTTGATAGGAAATATTTTACTGTTTTAAAGTTTTTCTAAAATTTATTCCACTTCCATTTCCAAGTCTGAAGCTTGATATGTATCTATTTTTTTTAAAACTTTGGCGTAATGTTAGTTTTAAATTTTCATTTCTTATTTTTTTAAAATTTTCCAATTGTGCTTCTACATTATAAAAATATTTCAGGCCTTTGCTCTAGCAGTCCCGGTGTTTTATTATTCGTGCTACGCGTCTCAGTGCCCATAAATATTCTTGGTGTATTATTTAATTCTGAACTAATCTCGAGGTGAACAACTGGTATAAATTTAGCCAATTCTTGCAGTTATTACCCGGTGACTATAACTGGTTTTTCTTTTCTTTTTCTTTCTTCTTCTGGCTTCACTTCAAAAATTCATCTACCAATTTTCCTGTATAAATCTCTATAAAGTGTGAAGAAATTTGCATAAATTTGCAAGACTGTTTTACTTCATATTGAAATTATTGTTGTGTGGCTGTTTTTCCTTCTGTACTATTCACATTCATTCGCCTTAATGAGCAGTGGCCTTCGAAATTGTTCGAAAGTTCTGAAAAGAAATGACAATTCAACTAGTACGATAGCTACCACCTCTAGTACTGCTGCTACTGCTACTGCTGCTATTAATGCAACTACAAAAACAAATCCTCTTGGTACATCGGTAATTAGTGAACCAAAAAAGTAAGTTAAAGTTATTATTTGATGTATAATTCGCATTGATTGATTACGAAAAATATATTTTTTTTTCAGTTCTGTTTAGTTATTTCTTCTAAGGGATTAGGAATATTTGACCCACTAATTATTTACAGAGTAAATAGATTATTTCCTGGTATTTTTTTTTTTTCTGATTTATCATTATACTTTGTATCTATTAGCCGGGCATTCTGTAGATGTTCTGATTTGGTCTATTTTCTTTACATATTGAAAAATTGAACGGATGGACACTTCTCATGCTCTTATCATCATTAATTACTCTAATTTTCAACCTCGTTCGATTTTCCCGAAGAAAATGATAGACCTTAACTTTTTTTTTGTATTTTCAAAAAATTCACAAATATTTGAAATCTGATAATCTATAATTAGCAGGCGTGGACGTAAACCTGCACTAAGTCGTCCAATGCTAATACCGGCAGCGATTAAAGAAAGTGTAGTGAATGGTGATAATTACGATGGTAGTAGTGTCACAATAGTGGACAGGATGACAGAACACAGTAGAACAATGAATATTTCTATAACTGATAAATGTAATGATCAACAATCATCTGCTGTTACGACTACTACTACGACTACTATTGTCAGTAGTACTGCTAATGTTACGGATGAGAGTGAATTGTTCTTACCGAAGGTTTGTGATAATATCACTCACCCTACTCCATCCGTTGCAGCCATGAATAAATCTGATGGTAAGCTCGGCCTTAATTATTTAGAAAATAAGGCACTAAAATTTATCGAGATTTAATCAGCCTAATAAATTCTTTGAACAAACAATACAAATGTTTTTGATTATGCAATTCCATAAGTATGAACTATTAGAGTTCAAAATAATTAAATGACTGTCTGATTAGATAGTAGTAATTTTTTTTTTTTTTTTTGTTTTAATGAATTAGTCATCGAAACGAAATGGGAAGCTTCTGATATGAGCTCAGCATTTAAATGATCAATTAAGGAAACATACCTTTGGCGTCCATTGATAGTGGCATCGATTCATGTGTCGATGTGGATCACGAGATGAAAGATATGGAGACATTGCGCGATGAAGAAGCTTCACCTAGTGAGAATTGTAACGATGACATCGCTGCTGTGCCACAATCCAGAGGTTCTGTTCATTATGATCGTATCGTTTGCGGTGATTGTCATGCAGAATTTTCATTATCAACATTCGTGGAATTTGTTGAACACAAGGTTATTCCATTAAAATATTTCTTATAAATGTATCTAACCAAATTTGCTAATAATTGTTAAAAGTTAGAAAGAATATCAATGAGTATTGTGAAAATCCTAGAAAAAGATGCAAGAATTACGAAGGTATAATTTAAAGCAGTTTATTAAGAATATTTTGATTTACATGAGAGCTAAACTCCTACGAAAACATAGTTATTTAAATTTTTTTGAATTGTTATTCTTCAAGATTTCACGTTGTGATAAGCGGACGCCATTAGACGAGTTCCTTTCTAATATATCACCTGCTCATCCATCCAGTGAAACTCTCCGACCAGGTCGTCGACGAATTCTGGTCAGTTGTCATCATTCATCTGCAGTAAGTATTTCAGTCACAGATTATTGGACAGTTTCTGTAATCTCTCTGTATCTATTATGATTATAAAATTTTTCTATCACTTTTAATTAACATATTTAGTCTTTACTATATAAATTCTTACATACTACTTTAATCTCATATATTATTAGTAATCCTCTTATACTGTAAAATTTAACATAATTTATGGGTGATTTTTAGGATTTGAGTGATTCATCTCGCTGTGGTCCATCTTCATCTGGAAATGATCAAAGTGCTTCGTTTATGTTGACAGCTGGTGAAGGTCAAGAAAAGCATAACAATAGGGTTGATGCTACTACAGACACAGATACTTTAGGTTAGTACAATATTATACTTTTTATTACTTGTTACTTATAGCAGAATTGGCAAATTGTCATACACTGGGAGACAATTTTTTATAGCCTTGAAAGATATGGCTGTATCTCTTGTATATATTTTATTGCACAGTTGATGAATTAGGCATTCTTTCATGTGCCTTCTTTTCGCTTTCGGTGTTGTTAGTGAGGCAATAAAGTGCCATTACTACTCTCCTAATTTGCATAAATTATCTCTCTGAAAACTACGGAAGATTTCGTCTCGGAATACTCTCTCAGCTTATTAGAAGAAAAAACATTGCACATTTACTGTTTGTACGATTAAATAATAATAATTGAGAATCATGTGATCATTTCAGAGAAAAATTCAATGCACATGAATGAAATTTAAGAATGTGACGACGATAAATGAAATTAATTTATTTCATTCAAATGCTTCACTGAGAATTTTAATCCATTGAAAATTTTTTGTGAGAATCTGTGAGCAAAAAATGTAAAATACAATTTAAGATTTTGAATTAAGCATTAATGAAAAGTAAAGTGATATTATTTCTTATCGTTACATTCTGAAATATCATTCATGCGGTTCAAATTATTAAATAAAAAAAAAAACAATTAGCAATGTAATTTCTGAGAAAATACACAAAAAAAAAAAGATGTGAGTAATTTTTCCAATGTAATTACTAAATTTAGATCTTTTTTTTTTGGAAGATATAATTATTTCTGCAAAAGAATAGTTGATAAGAATAAGAGGGAGAGGGAGAGAGAGAGGGAAAAAGAAAGATACAGGAAGAGGAAATGAATTGACCAGAATTGTTAGAAAGTGAATGTCAGAGTTATGTCATATATGTTTTTCTCTTTGTCACCATCTCTCTCTCTCTCTCTCTCTCTCTCTCCAATTGCATCGTTCCATCATTGCTTTGAAAGTGAAGTATTTATATTTCTGTTTTGAAAATTGGACATAAGTAATTGTTATGTATGCTTTTCCATTCTTAGATGCAGGAAGTAGCAAGCACATTTTCATGTCTCAATCACTTCTCACTCAAACTAATAAAGAACTTGTTTGGAAAAAGAAAAAAAAAAATTTGACTAGCATACGAAATTTAATATTACTTTATTGGAATAAAATTCTACCACTAATTAATTCATTTTCTAATTAGAAATATTCATATCTGATTGATTAACAAATAAATAATAACATAATTGGGAAAGAAATTTAATATTACTTTGTTGGAATAAAATTCCACCACTAATTAATTCATTTTCTAATTAGAAGTATTCATATCTGATTGATTAACAAATAAATAATAACATAATTGGGAAAATTAATCTATTACTTAATTAATGCCTAATCATTCAGTTAGTTGATCAATAAAATATGTTGGGATGTAAATTTTTGCTAAGATAATAGTTTTGTTTTTTTATGCTTTATATATATATCTTTATTTTTACACTATAAATTATATCTCACTTTCAGAGTAGACTCTATCTAGCTTTGCATTAGTAATTAATTGTTTATTCATTTCAGAGTTAGATAATTTTATCATATTTTGGGAAAAAAAGATAGCTACTAGTAACTTAACCTTTTAGTAATAATGCAGTAATAAACTGGATTTGTTGTTATTGAAAGGTGCAAAAATAGACAATCAAAAGGGAGGTGGAATAAATGGTGTGTTTGATAAAAATACTAGAATTGTTTGCATTGAATGATTTTTTTTTTTTTTTTTGAATCCATGATTTGAAGCATGTTTTTAATTACTTTATATGCTTAGCTGTTTTTTTTGTCACTTTTTCTTGAATACATATATATTCAAACACTGTTTTTTTTTTTTTTTTATTGCTATGAGAAAATAAGAAGATTAGAGAAAAATATTCATTCACTAGAAATTACTGGTTATTTCATAACTGTTCTCTATAAAAATAACATGTTTTGATCTTTTTTTTTTTTATTGAAATAAAATTCCGATTATTTCATTCTTTTCTTTTTTTTTTTTAATACTTAAGTAACTCAGTGATTGAAAACTTTTCGTTCATTTCAATTTCTTTTGGTCCATTTTTTTTTTTTTTTTTCTATTTTTCATTCATAAGATGCAGAAATAAAAGAAGATAAATGGGATGTGATTGGGGCTATCATCATGAAAACAAGTTTTATACTTGCCGTTCTATCATAACGATTACAGCATCTTTCTTCTGTGTGTTGTTATTTGGATGTTGCACAGCTGACAACGATTCCATTTACTCTACGAACCAGTTATATTTTCTATCACTAGTTATTAATTTATATTCATTAAAAAAAAAAAAAAGTACACAAATATTAAAAGAGAATAATGAAGTATATTGATAAGTAAGTTATTATATTATAGAAGATATCAGTAATTCATAACTAACTACCCAATATATTTCATTCTAAAATACTTATATGATTGTTACTCACAAAAATTTTCCACATATGCATTTATTTTGATACATTACCTATAGTAATTTACACCACTCTATTCTTTTGCTCTTTTATGAAAATTTCCAATGTAAATGCTGCATTATAATTCAGATTTTATTTTTAATAGCTAGCTGCAGAGGGAAAGGAAGAAATGATAAAACTACTGATTAATCAAGCAGCAAACATTAACACAGCAATATTTGAAAAAATAAAACATATAATTTTGTTGTTTAGATATGTGAATATTAAGTGGAGTTATTTTTTTTGTTATTTATTATTTATTAGTGCTTTTGCCTCTTTTCTCTCTTTAACTCGAAATACTAAAATTGTAAAGTAAAAGTGAAGTTTGTTTATCTGAAAAACCTTTTTTTTTTTTTTGACTGAAAATATTTGAAAACGAATCATCACAATTGGAAAAAGTTAAAAAAAACCATATGAAACAATTGTTAGTTTGCTTCTAGGCAAGGGATGATATTTAAAGATAGCAATATTAACTTGTCGTTTTGTGTCAACATAGCAACAATTAGTTGTTTTCCCAACTTCCGATGCGGTTTTTATTACTTTAAAAAAAAAAAAAAAACTTCATCATTGAATAAAGATGATCTAACGAAACAGATGCAATATTTGTTTAATCAAAATTGATTTTCTTTTTTGCGCCTTTTCATGAAATGAAATGAAATTTGCTTCTTTCTGCAACTTCAAATGATTAACTTGTATTGTTTGCTTAATAGTCATCAACTACCCCTCTATGTCTATGTCTTTTTGTTAGCTTTAACAATCATTTGGAACATATGAGGAAAGAGAGAGTGAATAAATATTTTTGAAGAATGAAAAAAGTACTAACCGTTATCTTTTCAAGTCTAAAAAAAAAAAAATTGAATAAAATATATGAAACATAAATCTGTCATACTAAACACACACACACACCTTCACGATATCTTATTAAACTAGCTCTGTGTGGAATACCTGTATAGAGGTGTATGTGATGTTTATGTGTATATGTGTACGTAATTAGGAATTACACTCTCCCATATTCGAGGGCTGAAAAGTTGAAGAGAAAAAAAAAAAAAAACCAACTCTATACATATTAATAATTAAATGTCGCTTTTTTGAAGTTTATCAAAATGTGGGTATTTTCATAAACTTTGAATCTTACTTGAATTTTCTCTTAAGCTAATTATCTTATTTCTTTTAAGAAGTAAAACAGTTCTGATATAATTATTACATTTACATGCTCCATTATACTTCACATTTCTCCACTTACATATTATCTTGTTAGAAAGTAATTATTTATTAGTTTTATAAACTTTATGAGTATAATTGTTTCTAGCTTTTCTGAAATACCCATTTAGATTATGTGTAGAAGCAGGTGATGTGGGTTTCGTTATTTTAAAGGCTATCTTTACAGTACTGATTGTTCTGTGACAAACATGTTTAAATAATATGTGATGTACTACTGATGGTACTGAATCGTAGCTATAAAAATACATTTAAAAGAGAGAAAAATAAATCCGAAATTAATTAATAATGGATTTAATAAAAGTTATGGCCTCATTCATATGTATAGTTGCAAGAATTCAGTAACTAAATTACCATGATAGCTGCTATAATAAAATTATAGTTTTTAATAAAAAATAATTATTCTTCAAGAAGTTAGTTCTTGGTCTTCGAAAAGTTACATACAGCTATTTTATGTATGTTATAATAATGGTTATTAAAGGAAAAAATGGAATCGTTTTTAGATACAAAACAAAGTAATGTATCTTTGATTGGCGGAGGATCGTTAACCTGTCACTCTTGTAAACATGTATGCAGTGATGTTTGGAATCTACTAAAACATGTATTTATTGCCCATGGCCTTCGTATTTGTGAGGTAACCCTTTTCTTCTACTTTTTTTTTTATAGAACTCGTATATTAGCTTTTTATCATATTATTCCACCTTCCCCTTATAATACATTTGTATTACGGTGTTGTAAAAAAGCTTACAGACGAACAGCCATATGCATTATGACCGTATTTGTCAGATGTAATCCGGATTTCATTGAACAACTGTGATGATATGAACTATAGTTATTTCAGATTGTAATAAAATATCGTTTTTAAAGTTCGCTTATCAATCATTCACTATTGGAGTTTTTATAGTAGCACAATTTTCGTAGGATAACTGTTAAACATTTAATAATTTTATTTTGATAATATGTTTACGTATGTTAGTTTCAGGAAGAGATGCCGTGTATGTCTCGGATGGGACTACCAAAATCGACAGTAATTACTTCATCGTTATCTTCATCATCATCATCATCATTATTAACACCGAAAACATCAATGCATCCACCGTCTCTCACATTTGCATCACCCTTCAACGCTTCCACTACAAAAAGCAAACTAAACGGTCTGTATGCAAATTTTTTTTTTGGGGTTTTCAAATTTTAAATGAGAAAAGAGTAATTGTTTTGAAATGCCATGAAAGTTTTTAAATTCCACTCCTCAAGACTTGTAATTAACATTTATATATTTGTTGTTTAATAATTCAGGTAAAGGTGGCTTCAGTTTGAATGCATTTTGCTCTGAACGGTTAAAAGAGATCGCTGAAAAAGCAGGTATGCTTGCACGATTTGTTAAAAAAAAAACAAAGTTGTATTGAGGCTACATTTATTACTGCAAGTACAGAAGGAAGAATATTAGTTTTGGAGTACATCTCACGATTGTATCGATTTTGTATTTGTGCTGTACAACTCCAAAATCTTGTCATCCTTTCTTATTTTAAATGATAACCGTGCAAATATGGAGTGCGTATGATTTTTAAAAAGTATTTTATTTTCAGGAGAACCGTTGACTGATTTACGTCATGTAGTAAGCCCAACCGTGATATCGTCTAGAACTAATGAACACCTAAAAACTAGCACCATTAAAAGGTATTCAAAACTCAAATTTTTAATTCATGTATGTTTAGTAGTGATGTTGATATGCTGGAATGATGGAATTGAATGCTTAAATAAGCAGCTACTGACAATTGCAGAACACAACAATCAGAGAATACCGATGATGAGCATTCAAGTAATGGCATCGCATCAACGACTGCTTCAACTGCACCATTTCTTCCCGGTTCAGCTCTCAATAATGTTTCCAGTTCACTTACTGCTGCCACATTAGCTGCAGTTGCTTTACAACAACAACAACAACAACAACAACAACAACAACAACAACAACAACAACAACAACAACATCCATCCTTGCAGGTTGAATTGTTGTGGTCTTTAGACGAAGAAAAGTATCATTATGAATGAATATGGAAAAAGGCATATAAAGAACGGTACAAAAAGATAACTTTTTGGATCATAATACCATAATAATATTCTGAAAAAAAAATTTTTTTTTAAATATCTTGAATTTTCAAGTAATATTCTAAGTATTTTTTATTTCTTTTCGTTTTAATTGATTTTAATTTGCAGAATTTATGGATGCAACCAAATATACCCAATATGCTGGCCCTAATGCAGGAATATTATGCACAATTCTCATTGAATAATGCTGCATCTTATTTGCTTGGTGCTGGTAGTCCGTCAGTTACTCCCGCAAACAGCAATGGGAGTGCTTTTAATGCGATCACCAAAATCACAAGGTTGTTTCTTCTGCTAGATCTGTGGATTGAGCATCGTTCTGGTTAACTGTGTTAAATTACAGCTTGTGATTAATTATCTTTGAGTAGAAAGGTTTTACATGGAATCCTCTTAATATCAAGCATCAATACCAAATTTTTGATTACATGTCTTACAGTAGTCCTGAAGAACCGTCACCTGTGGCACCAAATTCGGCAGCACAATCACTTGGATTAGCTGGTTTTGGTAGGGCCGATACCGCAACGCAAGATCAACTTTCTAGTCCAGCTGTAAAGCAAGGGCCTTGGAATGGTTTAGGGACATTTGGGTGCAAAAGACAACGGTTGTTCAATAATGGTTCGGAAACGTTGTCACCATCTGGAGCTCCGTTGCATAGTAAAATGTCAAGGATGGATGATGAGAGGTTTGTAAGTATGAACTTCTTTTATAATCTTGAGATATATCGAAATTATGAAATTATTTTGCTGAAGAAAATGTTAGGATGAAATTTATAAGTGCTTTATAGGTAATAGCCATCTGTTAAAACGGATCACTGTACATTCGTTTGTAAAGTTGGCAAAGTTTCGAATTATTTTCTTTATATGGGCGGTGGAAGGAAGAAAGCAGTTCATGTTCAGAAAGTAAACCTCTCAAAAAAGTCCTTTAGTTTTAAACTAAACTGAAATATTTTATATGTTTTCCTCGTTCTCTATTCTTTTTAATGCGATTCGATTTCAGTTTTTTTATAAATAGTTAATTTCTTCATACTTTTGTTCCAGCAATGAGGATACAAAGTCGACTCTGTTAAATGTTGTGGACAGCGATGATTTAGCATTCGCTGAGCCAGCAGCACGTCGTGATACAAATGCTAAAAAGGATCGCTGCACATTTTGTTGCAAAGTTGGCGGACTTTCAAATTATTTTAAAAAATTAAATTAAATCAAGCTAATTAATAAAATGGAAATAGAATTGCTTTCAATTCAAAAAATAGGATTTAGTTTCATACGCATTGTGCTCTAAGTTTGTACCTTCTAGCTGTAGATCTTATTTATAACTACAAAGCATTTTTAAAACCTTTACCTTCATTTATCAAAGGAAAGTTTAGGTTGATATGAGATTGATACACTTATTTTATTTCACTGTTCTTTTGTGGGATGTTAATTTTTTATTTCACTTTTTTTTTTTTTTTTGTTAAGCTTTATTCATTAATGTTTTCTTTTCAAGGTTTTCACGAATCGTTCCAATCTGATTGTCCATTTGCGAAGTCATACTGGAGAAAAGCCATACAAATGTCGTCTGTGTTCGTATGCTTGCGCACAAAGTAGTAAATTAACTCGGCATATGCGAACTCATGGCCAACAAGGAAAGGTTTGTAATTAATTACTTATTAATTTCGTCACCAAATTGAGAATAATCTGTGCGAATTCATGATCTGTTTATTATTATTTAGCTATTGAAAAACTGCGTCGTATCTTGTATGGGATAATAGTGATTTTTAAACAATAAACATTCGAAAGATTTTCTTGATTTCAAATAATGAAATGATCTGAAATTTGCAAGGGGAAAAATATTAGTTGCTTTTATGACTTTTTATTAGGAAAAGAAATTTTACAGCTGCGAAATGTTTTTTTTTCTTTTTTTTTTCTGCAGGAAACTTATCATTGCAACATTTGTCAAATGCCATTTTCGGTACATTCAACACTCGAGAAACATATGCGGAAATGTGTTGTTGCAAATAATCATAATCGTGAAAACAATCAACAATTTTCTCCCACTGAAGCAACAAGCAGTTTGTTTTGTTTATTTGTGGCGGAAGCACTTCTAGTTTCCTCTTTGTATTTTTTCATTTCATTCCAACGTCTATGGGTCATCTCTTTTGATAATGATCATAGGAGAGTTTATTTTAATTTTATTAACTTACTTTTTTACTTTCAAAAAGCACTATGATTATCACAGAATTCAGCACTGAAATCACTGCACTTGTATTGTTCGAGTTGTTGCTCATTTTATCAGTAATAAAATTTGCAGCAATAGACAGTCCGAACAAAGTAACGGCTGCAGCAGCATCAACACTTGCTGATGCAACATCACTCCTTGCATTTTCCAGTGTGTCTTTAAATGGTTCGCAGTTACCAACAAATATCACTCAGAGCAATAAAATCGTCCTTAACTGGTTACAGGTATGACTACTGTGGTATATTATAATGTCGAAAAAAAAAAAAAAAAAACTTTTTTTTTTTGGATTTTGTGATGCAGAGAGGTCCCTATAACAGTACTACTTGTTTGTTTTATTTTTTCTTCGTTGCTTTTAACCTTTATTATTTTAGGCAATGAATGTTAATCGAAATCCAACTCCAACACCAACAAGTGGTGCTGGTATTGGTCCTGGTGATGGACATCGTATTAGTAATAATGGCATAGTGCTTCCTACAGGGAAGGAAGACAACAGGGGTATAGGTGGTGCTGCTGGAGGTGTTGAGGATGAAGAAATGATAGTTGAAGAATGTGAATCATTTTCTGATATGCAAAAAACTCTTCTGAAACAGGTATTGGGAAATCGTCTTTTTTTTTTTTTTTTTTTTTTTTTTTTTACATTAACTAACAACGCTCAACTATATAGTAATCGCAACTATATATTTTATTCTCATTTTTAAAATTTTTAGGTTGCATTAAATAAGGAACAGTTTTCTGTGATATAAATTAAATTTGGATTATCTTTAATATTTTTAAAGCTGTGAGTCCCACAAGGCTTATAACATGAAACTTACTGATGCTGTTTAATATATGGTTCATTAGGCGGTGTAATGTGCCCCTTAACATATAGATGATTTAATAAATTACAAACTAAAGAATTCGATACAAAAATAACGGATCTAGAAAAGTTCAAGTAAACTTAAAGAAAGATACTACATTATGTGTGAGCATTATTTTCCTCTTGTCTATGTACTGATTATGATTTGCAGGAAACGACATAATTTTTTATTCTTTTCAGGAGACTGCCGCATTGTCATCATGATATCACTTACTATTTTGCATTCATGAAGAAATAAACAATCTCTCTTTTTTGGCTTCTTCCCAGGCGAACAATAATAATCTTCTCAACTGCTTACTATCTGCAAAACTGTTCCACTCACAGTACTTTCAGTGCTGCCTCTTCATCTTTAGTACAATTTATTCAATATATACATATATACACAATTTATTTGCATATACATATATGTAAATACATAAATAAAGAAATATGTATTCCAAATTTTAGCTACGAATGAGCTACAAGTAAATTCAATTAATTAAAATGCATGTATGGCATTCAGTTGTTTGCTTATGTATAGTTAATCATAATATTCAAATATAGATATTTTTTGTATACAATTGAAGTAATTAATTTCGTTAATATAGTTATACTACTACTGTTAGCTTATTCGCGGTTTAAATCTTTTTTTTTTTTTTAAAGATATATATGGCCTTACATCGGTTACGTACAGTCATTTATATATAGAATTTTTTTTTTAGTGAGTGTCATTTCTGTAATATTTCTAACAGTTGTTTCCTTTTTTTATTCTTTCTGTTTTTTTTTTTTTTGTTTTAAACATTTGGTGAAAATTATCCGGTTAGTTTTGGTTTCCAGAAATAATTTTTCGGTTTTTTTTCTTCTCATTTTGTGTATCGCTTGAATATGGTATACTTTCGGTGTTTCATATTCATCATGCATATAATAATTTTCTTCTATATTTGTTGCTCCCTCGAAGTTATTTAATTAATTGAAATTTTACCCGTGCTATATTTGTTTCTTGTAAAAGAATCATCATTTAATACATTCTGTGCTATTTGCCGGAGATTGTTTAAAAAATCTTTTGTGTTCCGAAGCTTACATTAGCTGGAATTTTTTTTAATGCTTCTTTGTCCTTTTTTTTTTTTTTTTTTTATCTGCAAGAAGATACTTCCTTAAAGTGATATATTTTTGCTGCCTCATGTATAGTAGAGCTCTGTGTATGTTTTCTTTTGCTTCTCTTGGTTAACCGGTGAAAATATTTTTTTTAATTCTTTCTGTTCTTTCCTGTTTTATTCATATATGGAAAATGTGAAGTTGGATGCAGATTTTTTGTCAACTCAGGGAAAATTTTGTAGTATACCTTTAAATTTTTTTATCACTTTTTGGATTCGATGAATTTTTTGATGATACACAAGAATCACCTCTTCAAAAATTCTTAGCACTTGAAAATTTCTGAAGCTAAGTTAAACCAGTTTCCGAAAAAATCTCACTTATTTCTCAGACTGATATAGAGATCTGAAAATGTAACTTCATTATCTATGTAAGCATGTATTTAAAGCCCAGTTTGTTTTTGAATTTTAGAAGAATACAATTTGATAAAATCATCAATGGTGAAAAATTGAAATTCTAGGCTCTAACCTGGTTTATCTTACGCCTCCAATTAAATATAACTAATCTTGCCAACATTTTAATAGATTTCTAGTTGGCTTGAAGAACTTGAAGAAAGGATCCTTTTTGTTGTTTGATTAGATTCGCTAGTTTTTTTCTTTCCTTTTCTTTTTGTATATTTTAGCCTTATATCATCATGTTTATCTGCTTTTCACAGATCCTTTCCAATTCGTACAGTTACACATTTTATCTGAAAAAATGATGCATAATTAGTTTTATGGATTGAAATATGCTAGCTATTAAATGAAGCAAAGAGTCTTTCATTTATACTCTAGGATTTAACTGGATTTTTGGCTTTTAATTTTTACTTTGACTTTTTTCTAAATCAATCATTTAGATAGTGTCTTTAACATGTGCTTCCGTTACGCTATCATTTTAATATCCAATAGATTACTTGTAGTGATTTGAAAATATCAGAGTTAAGTAAGAATGAACAAGTAGTAGAAATCTGTTGATGGATAGATCTGTCATCTTTTTCTGTTTTCTTTTTTATTATTATTTTTTTTTTCAATGTGTTTGATTTTGTGGTCTTGGAAAAAAAAAAATCAGGCAGCCTTTTTCGATTTCAATATATTCTTTTTTTTTTTACTTGTTTTGTGTTTAGCATTACGATTAGCGCTATGTCTCTTTTCTTTTCTCTCTCTCTCTCTCTCTCTCTCTCTCTTTCCTTCTTTGTGTGTATGTGTGTTTATCTCTGTGTATTATAAAAAAAAAAGAAATGATTTTATATAATTTGAAATGATTATGTGTTTCAAAAATCCCGGTGATGTGTACAGCATTCTTCATGGTATTCCTGTTTGTCAGTTTAGGATGCTTCAGAAAAACATAAAGTGTGACACTTATATGTCCTTAAAACAATTTGTTGCTTAAAAAAATTTTTGAATCATTCATTTTGAAATGATTGATGTTCAATGGTATATCACATCTTCATCTATTTACATTTTCATTTCTTATTTTTTTTTTTTTTAGCTCTAGGGAATATCATTTAGAATAATTGATTCATACATTTTTCTGACTGTAATAAAGATAAAGTTTGCAGATGTCATAAGAGAAGAAAACTCTAGTTTAAATTATATCATAACATTGAAGGAAAGTTTGTTTAAACGAAGAGAAGAGAAGAGAAGAAATTCGTTCAGAAGATGAGTAAAATTTCTCAGTAAATCTTTTTAAACATTAATATCTAACTTTGTAAGTGATATTAAAAAAATTCATTGACCTATGTGAGGACAAATATTATCTGCAACTGTATGTTTCAATAAACAAAATAAACCTTGGGATGAACAATTGAAATGCTTGCTGGATCCGATTAAAAATGATATGAGAGAAGTTTTCTCTTCCAAATACTTCAAAGAAAAAAAAAAAGAAAAGTCTTAACATACATATCGAACTATTAAATGATAGCTAATATGTATATCAAGAAAGGAAAAAGTGTATATCGAACTATAAAGTGATGGCTAATCTTCCTGATCTATCTATTCTATTTATTTTCAGGAATTCACTTCCAGGGGGAAATTTGAAACTTGTAATATTGTCAGCATAAGAAAAAAAAAGTATTCTATAATTGTTAGATTCTGCTTACATATATTTCAGATATTTTTTGGTATAAATATATTTTATTTCAATAATCAATCTGAGACATATAAGTTGTCTGTGATATAATTTACTTGAGTATTTCAATTTGAGTTGTGATAACTGTACTGTTATAAGAAAATGGTCAACAGCAATTTGAAAAAGGAGGAAAAGAGATATCTGTTTTTGGAAAGACATATCTTCATTTCAATAAGAAATTCATTTTAATGTAAGAAAAGTTTATATCTTCATTTCAATAAGAAATTCATTTTAATATAAGAAAAGTTCATATCTTCATTTCAATAAGAAAAATTTTTGTCAGAATTAAAGCAAGGCGAAATTAGATGAAGTAAATTATGTTGAAAGATTGTTAACTAATTTCTAGAAACTAAAAGTTTTTTGAAATATATCTGATATGAATTACTTACAGGAAATCCAGGATTGATGCCTTATTGCTGCCATATCTTTATTTTTTTCCTCACTGAAATATCACCGAAATTGTGGAAAAAAGGAAAAAAAATGAATAGGAAGGAAGGTCAGAAGTCAAATCTTTTGAGGATTTTATTGTTTTTTTTTTTCGAAATGATATATGATAAAAGAGATATGGTGATTAAAAGATATGTGATATGGTTGATAATTTATCTATTAGATTTTCAGTTAAATATATTTCTAACATTTTTTTTTTTTACTTGACTTAATAATTTAGTTCTTTTTTTTTTAGATGAGACGCTGAATTAGCATTAAGTAATGAGGGAAATAAATATTGCATAATAAAAATATCTCTTGAATAAAAACATTTTTCAGTGATAACGCATAGCTCTATGATTACAATCAATGTTACGGCGCTTCATTTACTTCAAGAACTTTAAAAAAAAAAAAAAAAAAAGAAAATTTAATTCAGAAAATCTATGATCTTTTTTTGCACCAATAATAATTGACAATAAAACTTGCTCGGTTTTCAGAAATACTTCGCAAGACAAATTATATTTTTTGGAGAAGAGTTTGAATTTTATTGCTGGAGCTGTCAATTACATGAATTAATCTATCTAATTAGTAATCTGTTATTTAAGTTTTGAACTTAAACAGTTTAAGCAAATATAATGACATGGCAATGCTTCCATTATTTTAATTAAATGTAATCAAAGTTTGCTTTCACTAAGGAATGCAATCAATGAGTTGATTCTGGTACAGCAATATTTTCATATTACTCCAGTCAAAGTAATTTATCCAAATGAGTCGCCAATCCGGATGGCACATTGCCAGAATTAATTGCAAGATGTTCGAATGAGTTAGCTCGGTGGTCGTCTCGAGTTCCTCTTGGGATGGTTTTTTGCCTTAAGTTGTCGAGAGTCTAGTTCATCCGAAATGATGAGATCAGTTGATATGTTGCGTATATATACTTTATTTTAGTGTGTTACTTGTGTTTTTCAAGAAGTGTTTGCTGAAAAAAGGATGTCAGTAAAACTCGCTGAGTATGTTTTTCTTTTTTTATGTGTCTTTTCAAAATATTTTTGGAACATACACTTTTTATTATTTCCCAGAAATGTCTGTAAACAGTAGTTAAACCGAAGGATTAAAGATCAAAAGAAAGTTGGGGTTTTTATAATCTTTATGTCATTTATGACTAACTAATTGTAATTAAATAAGTCTCAGAAACTAATTGGTGAATGCTTAGTGTTTCAAATTTCACTGATTCTATTGTGCATTGCAGCATACTACCACCTCCTTCTTCAACATCAGATGAATGGTCGTCTGTTCGTCGGGACCCATGGTTTCAAGGCCGAGAAGTTAGTTCCTCAATTTTGCTGCATTTTTTGGACGCGAAATAATCAAAAATCATTCTTATTTGTCAAGTTTATTTCACCGAACAACTATCATAATATAAGCACAAAGAAAATAGCAGCCAAAAATTTTGCTCATATTCAATGAGCAATGCATAAAATAAATATAGCTGCTGTTTTAGGATGCTTTGAAAGGCGATAATATTGGAGCTGTGGTAATGAAAG